TCGCTGTCATACGGAATTCGGATCAGTAAGCTTTTGCGGTTGAGACGCATATTGTTTATGCCTAACAATCGCCTGCCACACCGCGCCTTGTTTAAAATTGAAGGAAAGTGCGTGTAGATCTGCAAATGATGCAGAAGCAAAATGTGAAGTGTTGCTCAGGAGAATTAGGCGAAATACGTGTATCCCGTATTTCGGGATAGAGTCCGTAAGATCAGTTGCTTGGTTAGAGACTCTTAAAGATATGCAAGTGAACGGACAGCAGTGGCGTTCTTATTGTCAGTTTTCACCGTACTGGAAGAGCTGAAGAAGATAGATTTTTCCCTGCATTGACTGTGGTGGTAGATAGTTTCTTTGTCGTCTGAATCAGTAGGGCACCTCATGTGGTTCGCCACTCGGAGTCCTAGGATCTAGTTTACCCGTTTCCATGACTGTAAAGCAGGTCCACCTGTTTGTGGGGTGTTCCTTGTCTGCTGTTCACCACTCGGTAATACTTTCGGGTGGTTATTGCTGTTATCTGTTTGTTGGTTTCGATCTCTCTATTCACAAACTAATCGGTAGATCCTCCCTATGTTCTGACGAAATNCCATAGCGTGAGTTACTTGCCCCTTTCGGGTACCAACAGTAGTAGTAGTGTTGTGAGATACTACTCACTTGTGAGTAGTCGGTAACTTCCGGCGATTAAAAATAGAACAGGGCCATCAAGGCCCAAGTAATATGTTTGGGAAGAATAAACACTGCCTGCTCTATCCATTACTCTATGTGTCGTGATGTGTTGCGATGGCATGTTTCTGATAAGGTTTTCGTGTTATGCATGCAAAATTAGTGACCTTCAATCTGTATTCTGCAATAGACAACTTCCCTCTACCTGCACCACCTTTTGGGAACATAACGGTAGTAGCAGTAGTAATTCTGACGGATAAACGTTCCAGGTTTTAAGCAGGTGTTCACAAACCATGGTCTCATGTTCTACCAGAATAGAAATGCCATCCTTCGTCTCTGGTGCCTGTATTTCTGAATCCCTGCCATTGATCTGCGCTCGGAGGAGCAGAGCTGAATGCTACCGAGCGCGTCCCCAGGTCGCGGATAGGGGAACGGCCGCCATCTCGCGGCTAACCGTGAATAAGGTGGGCTTCGGCCTACCGAATAAGCGGTCGCGGACGAGCAGCGGCAGCGCTCGAGGATGTGGTGGGTTTACTCCTGGCAAGGGTTCTCC